AAAAAAAAAAAAAAAAAAAAAAGACAAGGTGATTTCCACCAAATTGAATGTGGCGATGCCCTCTTCCATTTCACTAGATCAAGAGCATATTACTCAGGTCACGAGCTCCTTCCTGAACGAATCAGGCCGCCATTATGACCTTATTACTAGACGAATCTGACTGCAATCACGTCCAGAAAACAGTAGACAAAAGTCTTGCCTCGAAATTGGGCCCTTGGTAGCGACCGCCTCCTGAAACCTGCCCCACTCAAAACTGACCTAGGCATCCAATTCGATTATAGGGTTCGGTGGCCCGCAAGTAGCAATCAATCAATCCTCGTCTCATTGTCACATCTCATTCCCATTTTCACATATTACGAAGAAGACACATTTTGCCCAGAGTGCCACCAACCGCTTCTGGATCATCCTACGCACAGGCAGAATCTGAAACCGCCAGCGCAAAGAGCCAATGGTGCAAAGACAGATGACCGATTATAGTGAGGAGGTGATGCTGACCATCCACTTCCATCTCCACTCGCTGAAATACACTTTATCCTCTCTGAATCCCTGTGAAGACTTACAATCACTCACGCCGTCTCCCATAATGTATCAATCGACGCATGTTTTTCGCATCGTTGATCATAGAGACTATCACGGTAGAATCAGTGACTGAGGTCCCGTCGTAACAAGGTAGCCGTAGGGAAACCTGCGGCTGGTTCCAGACGTCCTCGTTTAGAGGTCGTTCCATCAGACTGGCAGCACCATTGATTGGCATTTCAATGTAGACAGCTCCAGCTCTGCATCAGACTAGCAGCACCATTGCTCGACGTTTCATCGTAGAAAGCTCGAGCTCTGAAGAAGGAACGTAACACTTTGGCTTCTCGCCAGCTGCCAGCGCTTCCATGCTGACGACTCCGTGTCACTGAGGTCCAATACGGTCTCGACACCCTCCACATCAACCATCCCACTGGGCTGGAGGGCAGAAACGCTCAATCTCTGAAGGGTCAGGCGACTCAGGCCTATGTTAAGGTCTACCGCCAGGAGTATGGGTGGCCCGTTTTGTACATGACGAACATGATGATCACAGAATAAAGCTGCGTTCCGGAACAACGAGACGTTGCCACGCCCTAAACGGGTGCTTCGGAGCGTCTTCTCTGGCACAACAAGTGCCTGTATGGATCATACAAGTTCACTGTCAATCCAAGGTTCAAATCTCGCTTCTCTCGTCTAGACCCAAACAAGTGCGCACACAGCCCAAGGCCAAGCGCGCAGTTCTTCAACGGCCGCCAAGATGAATGCACCAACGATCAGTACTATGCCGTGCAGATCCCACGTTTCGTACAGAGCCTCTAGAGGACAACGCCAAGACGCGTTGCTATATCCATCTCATGCAAGCAACAGAACGTCTTGAAGTTCTCTGTGCTTACCTTCCTTGATTACGACCAGTACATTTCCCAAACATTTTTCTCCGACGCGGCGGCATGCACGCCACAACTTTCGAGGGTCCACTGCCGGAGCACAACATTTTACTTAAGGCGCCAGCCAAAAAAGAACCCCATGCCGGCTCACTTCTTAAGGGTGTGCAGGGCGTCTCGAGGTTCGTGAACAAGAGGCTCGGAAGAACCGCCCACCAGTGGTTTCAGCTACCGCTGATGGTTTAAGCTCCCAGTGACCTGTGATGGATCATCCCCCACCGGATACCTAACAGAAAGCGATCTGCGCCTCCACAACATTGGACCATGTGTCGTCTTCAACTGATGTCGAAGGCCTCGCTTGAAAAGATGCCGGTCGTCTTCCGGCCATCACTTTGAAGTTCTGCTGTCAGCATCCGACAGGAAGAGCACGGATTTTTCCTCGCCTCTCTAGGATCTGTTCCCAACACTGTGAGCTATCCCAATGCAATCGGTACCGTCATCGCGCCTTTCTTGTCTTGAAGTTCGCCACCGTCATCAGGCCACCTTGTCTTGTCACCATGATCTAGTGAAAGTTTGAAGTCCCATCGTCGCGATCTCACACACAAATGCCATCAAAATTGATCAAATTGAATCCGTCGAGCAGCTAGCTGACTATGCACATGTTACAAAATTTAATCGATCCATCTGATTCCAGCATCCCAGCTCATAAACCTTTAATCGATCCAGCTGATTCCAGCATCCCAGCTCGTAAACCTTCGTGAAAATCAATGCAATCCACTGAGCAGCTAGCTGGTTTTGCACATGCTACAAATCGTTCCAGCAGTCCAGCTCGACATAAACCTACGTAAAAATGGATAATATTTGCTGAAATCCCAAATCTACATGCAAACTCTCGACTGCCACCGAGTCTTCCCAAATAGCAGCCAAGAAAAGGTCCTGGATAGCATTGCCCTTTAACTTCTTTAACTTTTCAAATCTCCGTCTATCTACGTCTCGCGCCGCTGAAGTTCGGGTAAACCAACCGTAAACCATCTTGAGATGTCAAAAGATCGATCCAGCTTCGCTTCAACCTGGCTGTATCCGGACACCTCAATCATGCAGTCTTCTCGAAAAGCTCAGCCCCCTGACAAGGCCTCGCTCCACTACCCCACATTGGACAGGTATCTGGATTCTGGACTGCTATTCGGACCACATACATTCGACCGGCTGATCGAGCATTTCGAATGTACGACGACCCTTGCCAGGTCCAGATACGTGTATAATGGTCGGCACGAGAGGCCCATAGTCATCTTATCCGCTACTATTACTCTACAACGATTCCAGTCTTCGCCATATCACTTCACAACGATACCATGGCCACAACAACTTGATCGGAGATATCCCGATGCCCATTCCACACTTCAGCCCCGAAGAATCCGATGACACGTCTGGTTCCCTTATAACACAGCATGCCAGTTGCGACCACAATTCTTGAAAAGAGCCACCTCCTTATCTCCCATGCTTTCTAACTATTCCCGCAAATCCGTTTCTTCCTCGCAAACTCGCTTGGCTTCCGCCCCTCTCACCAACGTATACCTGCAATCAATAATTGAAAAATCCATGAGAACATATCTGGACTAAATTGACTTGATATTGCCAAAAAAAAAAAAAAAAAAAAAAGAAGACCCCCTCAGAAAACGATATTAGTTTTATAAAGTTTTATTAAATTTATGTCAATTCAGAACAACCGTGTACCTAAAAAAACAAAAACCGACCCCTCAGAAAATGATATTAGACTATTAGTGTTCTAAACTTTTATTCAATTTATTTCAATTCAGAACAACCGTGTGCCTAGCCTACCAGAGTGGCCCGGGACAACTTGCTTGGCCGGGCCAAAAAAAATGAAAATAAGAAAAATAAGAAAATTGAAAATTCATTTTTTACTCACTTTATTTTCAATTTGCCAAAGAATTTCGATGTGACCCTGGGCCTGGGGCAGAAGTAGTTCGGTTTATAATTTTGCATAACATAGGCTTTTTTTGAAATTTTCAGAATTTTTGGATTTTTTTTTTGTTTGTTTGCTGGGACCTCCTATGGCCCGTGTATGGCCGGGCAGCCCGGGCAAACAGGGTGACCGTTGCAGCCCGGCTGGTACCCTAGCCGTGTACACAACTAGACCACCTCTGGGCTGCTGTGGATTTTTTTAATTTTTTGTTTGGAATTATATATATCATCAAATAGAACTGCCCGGTAAACCGTAGGCAGAGAGGGAGAAGAGGACAACAAACGAGGGGCTGTGACAAACTGTTTCGTCGGAGTTTCACCGACTCATCAGGAGGCTGAATATATATATATTGTCACATCACTATATATATATATCGTCAAATATATCGTCACAAACAGAACTGCCCGGTAAAACCGTAGGCAGAGAGAGAGAAGAGGACAACAAACGAGGGGCTGTGGCAAACTGGCGTCACAAACAGAACTGCCCGGTAAACCGTAGGCAGAGAGGGAGGGAGAAGAGGACAACAAACGAGGGGCTGTGACAAACTGTTTCGTCGGAGTTTCACCGATATATATATATATACTTGCATAGGTTCCATTTGTTCAAACAAACTCGAACATAGGCAGTAACTGTTTTTCGCTTCGATTGTATTTAACAGTTCCTTAATGACTCCTAACGGACATTTTGGTTCATTGTTCCAGCTTTCTTCTTTTTCAATTTCTTTACTCTTTACTCTGCAGGAAAGATCCAAGGGGGCGCAGAAGCGGCGGTAAAACTTGTACATACCTCCATGCCCTCTCCATCCCTGCTTCCTGAATCTCTTTTGCCAATGCTCAATAACTCATCCAGACATCCACCAATTCCCCGATTCACTGCAATGGCAGGTCTCCCCTCACTGAGCAATGCATGCACCCCTTCACACCTTGAAAGGGCACCCAACGACACCAGCTAAAGAACTGCATGACGATGCAGCCAAGTAGCAGAGAGGTTACTCGTCCTTGATCTCGTGGTCACCGGCAAGAACCCCTTTCACACCTGGAAATGGCGCCCGACACGATTCAAGAAACAGCATGCTGATGCAGTCCAGCAGCAGAGTCTGAGTTTCCTTGTTCTCTCCAGGTCACCGCCAAGGTACCGGCGCGTACGGCGATGACACAACAATGGCCTCGGGTGACGATATAATGATGGCATGTTCGCCATTCGTGCGCGTACGAATCAGCACGATCCACAACGCAAAGCTAAAGAAACGACCAAAACCCAACATTCAGCAACCTCTTGCTCCCCGAGAGCTAGCTCAGCGTAAAACCAAATGGGATAGCTGCGAACGACAGGGTGAAATGGTACAAGCATTAAATGACAGGCCAACCTGGTACCAGTTGAGCCGTCTACGAGTACCAAAAAACGAAGATGCTACCGCATTAACATATGCGGAAGCAGCGGCTGACATCAAAACACTGCTGCTCCTGTCGAGAAGTCGAGGATCGTGTTGGTCATGGGCCTCGCCTTCCGCAAAATGCCAGAGTACTCGACAACCTGTGCATAAACACACACAGCAAACAATCATCCCGAATAAAGGCTCCGTAACTTAAGCAGGCTCAGTCTTTTTTGAGGTAAACACGTCCCGCGCCGACTTCAAAAAGGCAACGGAAGTACCAATGGCCGTGGTGTCACATGGCTCGGCCGTGGTTAGGGAAAAAAAAAAAAAAAAAAAAAAAAAAAGACCGAAGGATACTTTTGAACCGAAATCGCTCATTTTGAGTTCTCTCGTGGTTCCTCTGCCAACGCAAGTTTTTTTTTGCCTTTCAAACTTCAAAACATATCACGTCCGCTGTTTTTTTTCCTTTTTTCTTTTTTCTTTTTTTTAACAGGCGCTATTCGTAATCGCACAACAAACACAGTTTTGTCACAATTGCACAACAAACACACACTCACCATGATGGTACAATCTTTCACCGTATGGATTTCCGCATATTTCAACAACTTCGTGCATGGGTCTTTCGTAGACACCCTACCTGGGGTCGACAAAGAATCAAGCATAAGTACTTCCCTGAGAACCAAACTTGGTTACTACAGACACATAGTACACATGAGAGCTACCGCATAACATCGACATGTTGGAGAGTCGACATTTGTCATTGTAATCACTCGCCTTCTGGACGTGTTGGACACACATTGCAGATCCCTTCTTCTCTCGCTACCACCGCATCACCGTCGGACAGAGCACGTCGTCGTCATCATCATCACTAGTTTTCTGGGCGTGTCTTTCTACTCTTCCCTGCCTGATCAACCTTAACAGCGTAATTGGTTCGGCAATGAGATCCCGTACATCCCACTAACCAGAAGAAGACCAAGATTTGGTACATCCAAAATATTAATCTGTTATGGTACATATCCACAGCGTGTTTCACGTGCAGACTGTGGTACATGCGAAGAAGAGTGCAGCTTTTGCCCAGTAAGGTTCTTCGCGTTGCATCGACTTAAACCACATGCTCCACCGCTTGTGCGGGCCCCCGTCAATTCCTTCCTTTACCATTTTTCAAAATCCCAGTGATACTAAAGGCCTTCCTGAGTTCAAAATCCAGTCGCAACCAGATGAACAGAACGAGGGTAGAGGGGGCCGGGGGGGATCCCCTTGTCTGCATGCCCCTGGTCTGGCAATGCTGAATCCAGCTATGTGTTTCGCATGCAGACTGGAACGAGTATCAAGACGAGCAGCTCTGTCCATCTTTTCCTTTTTCAAAAGCAGAACCACGAACAACCTTCGTCTACACACCACTGTCCCCGAACACCGACAAGGGACTCGTGCCGCTAATCAGACACAGATCCAATTCCCTCCCGCAGAGCACAACCTACATTACTGTAGGTTAGCACCCCAATAACAAGCCAGCAAAACACCCACGAAACAAAGATAGGTCTATCACAGCCAGAAAATACACTCCAGACACGCCACTGGCACTAGAGGCACAGCATGGCCGCGTAGCGACGGCCCCAACTACAGACACTCAACCTTGCCCGAGAAAACCGTAGCAAGGTGCTATCGAAGTCATAATATCATATTAATATGTCATCAAATATAACTGCCAGGTAAACCGTACGCAGGGAGGGAGAAGAGGGCCGCAACAAATGAGGGGTTGTAACCAACTGTTTCGTAGGGGTCTCACCGACCAATCAAGAGGCTGAGCCCTCAACAGTCTGCAGAATCCCCTAGCTGAATGCACTGTAAGTGATAATCCCACCTTAACCCCGGCTGTGGTTAAGCATCAACGACTGGCCGACAACTGATACCCTGAGGTGGGCACCAACCGGTGACCTCAAGGAACCATAGATAATATTTGTACAATAAGTCACTAACTCTACTACTCACCAAACTTATATGAAGTTATATCATAATGGTGCCATTACTTCTGAATGTACTCGTCATTGAGCACGCCATGGTTGACGTGGGCGTTTGAAAGGGACCAACAGCATCGGGCAAAATGGGGGAAGGATACTTTTCTGGGCCTTTCGGCTAAGATAAAGTGTAGTATCTGTTCTGATCAGTTTAATATCTGATCCGTGGTCCATTGGACGACATTAAAAAAAAAAAAAAAAAAAAAAAAAAAAAAAAAGGAGGGGGGAAGGAGAGGGGAGGTTGAGAAAAGGGCAGGAAAGCACAGAGGAGAGGAGAGGAGAGGAGAGGAGAGGAGAGGACTCTGAACGCCATCACCAGCCCCACGTGTGGGTGTGGAAAATAACTGGAATCATGGCATATATTTTGCAAAAGAACGCACTGCCAGAGAACTGGAGGGAAACATTTGCACGCCTGTTTACAAGTGGAAACAGAAGTAAGGACTCTTCGAAAAGAATGCGTACGGTTCATCACTTTTTTTGTCCCTTTTTTTTTCGCAAAAAGCAAGCAATCAACGAACCGCAAGCTGCAGCATCTGACATACAGACTCACCATGCAGCTTCCTAGACCAGAGAACTCAATTTTCCCATCTTCCACCTTCACCACGCGCGGTTCTTTGCCTGCCTCGCAGATGACGCCATGATCTGTAGCGCCATTTCCATTTCCATATGCCACACAAGACGCCTCTCCTGTGCCAGTTGTCTCAGCCTCTGACTGCATTTGAGACGACTGTGACGATTCCAACTGACCGCTCAGAATATCGACATATTCCCCATCCGGGAGAGGAACTTCAATAGCCCCTTCCTGCACAACAAGGGCACAAGAAACAGAGAAAACAACACACAGCAGCAGATCAGCCACAGACACAAATGACACGGCTTGAGAGAAGCACCACGCGTTGCGACTCGCGAGTCTTGGGACACAGAGAGGAAGCACACTGTCCGCTAGAACGCATAAGTGGGTTGCATAAAAGTGACAAAACATCTCATGTGCTTGACCAATGAAACGGGCGCAGGCACACATCTTCTGCCATCCAGAAACAAACACAGACTGTTAAAGGGGTGTGATTATGTACCGTCGGTACCGAGTGTGCTTCTAGATCGTCTGATCTATCTGCAGCCATCAGCAATAGTCTACCAAATTGAATGTGTAATTGCACCCACTCTATACTTCCATTTCTTTTTTTCTTTTTTTTTCTTTTTCTTTCGTTTTTTTTTGTCATCCTTGCGCAGGGGCCATGCTAATCTTCTCTGTATCGTTCCAATTTTAACGGATGTCCCGAAGGACAAATACATATACTTCCATTTCTATACTTCGCTTTCTCGCAGATCAAGAATGAGCATTGTCTCCTTCTCTTCCCTTTATCACTGTGACAGTCTTGTTTCTTTGATTGTCGCTGCAGAAAATTGCCAGAAACATTTTTTTTCGACCTGCATCAATGCTCATGCTTGGCTCTCAACATAAGGAGTCAGCATACAATATCCAAAATTCCAAATGGCATTCAAATTTGTCGATAGCTCATCGATAGACGTCCAATTTCGCCCACTCTACTTCTAAGTGTAGGCTGTGTAGCAGCTCAAAAATGAGCATTGTTTTGTCTTCCCTCTATGATCCCTGTTATGTTTCTCTGGTTGACATTGGTGTGATTCTCTTCAACCTGCTTCGATGCGCGTACTTGGCTCAAGTATATACTCTCAGTACCGCCTTCGATACTGCTCTATGGCATGCTTACCTTGTTCATGATACTCGGCACTTATTCCACAATTCCCTTCCGGCATCGGCATGCACTAAATATGGGTGCCCTTAATATGTTCAGGCTGTAATTTACATTCAGAATCTTCTCAAGTTCAGCCTTCAGGTTGTTTCTTTTCTTCGGGAGAGGTCACCGTGGAAGATGACAGCAATCGGACCTCAGACTATAACTGGATGACAACAGAGAGAGACACACAGAGAGAGAGAGAGAGAGAGAGAGAGAGAGAGAGATCACAAAGTGCAACTCGCATACCGTTCGCCCTCCCACATTGAACACCCCGAACAAATTTTTCTTGCTCTCCCTTTCAGGCTGCTGCCATATAGCAACGATGGCACCCTCTCCAGCGAGCAGCGAGAACTGCCCATTGCGCATGGCAGGACTCTTCTTCATCCTCGCCAAGTTCGTCAAAAATCCCTGCAATGGCAATAGGTTACAGAAACAAATGTCAGATAAATCAAATCCACACACAGAGAGAGAGAGAGAGAGAGAGAGAGAGAGAACACAGAAATGCACATGCATGCACACACACACACACATTAACACACGCACACACACATGCACACACGCACACACATGCCCACACACACACACGCACACACGCACACACACACACACACACACACACACACACACACACCCACACACACATGCACACACACACACACACACACACACAGTTTCTGGTCTGCTCCTAGCCCAATCCCTGATTTTGTCACCTTGTCGCATGCATTAACTTGTGGTTTATTCACCGTCTTCACATTGCCCACCTACACCCCCAAGCACAAGTACAAGAAACATGCCCCAGGTTTCCAGATCTCCTAATTAAAGGCGCACATGCTTATCCAGTCAAGATAGCCTTGATTGTCAGATCTGCTTCGTTTGCAAGCAGCAAACACAGAACCAGTGGGGCAAGCATCAATACAGTTCAGGAGTGAACCAACCAAGCACTGCAAGTTAGCCAGCCTCATTTTCCTTCCACATACCGTGAGAGTGTAGTCAGCCCAGTCAATGGGATCCCTCTCAAACAGCTCAGGCGGCTCCCTCGCTTCAGATTCCTGGAAACACACACATACCAAAAAAAACGAAGAAGAAAACACAGATTAATCAACAACAATCGTAGGGCGAAAAAATCATAATTCAGTTTTTCATCGTCAATTGCACATTTCTTCAGTTCATGCACAGCGATTTGAGTGGGTACCAGACAAACTCAAGGGCATACTCACAGTAGCACTTTCGGAAATGCATCAGACAACAATTTCGGCCACACCTGTATGCACCTGGCAGCATTTCCATCCAGAAACAAGTAAAAAGTCCTAGCGTGAGTATGCCCTGAGCTTCGCTGCACTGCACAGCATACCACACGTATCTGGACACGCCGACACGGTGCTGGGTCGAGATACACTCAGAATATTTGATCCCTTCGAGTGTATCTGGTTCAGAATGAAGTCCAGATGGATGTAAAATGTTGTGAGTCTTGTGACTCGTGACTAATGAAGCGAGGCCCAGTAATTATCGAACCCAGGATCTTATGAACGACATCCCGCGAATCAGAGTGTGCCTCCAAAACACCGTCAGCCAGCACTTTAGATTGGAACCTTGAGGTAAGAAAAGGTTAATCAACCTCACTCATTTTTCAGTTTTTCTCAGACCCTGAGAATAACCGCCGTTAGTATGAGGAGACGATACGCACCCCACAACCACCATGCCAGTCAGCAGCCAATCATCATGGCCAAGCGTCAGACACTGACACACTCAGTCCAAAATAAGCTGTGATTAGCACTAGACCAATCCACACAGAAACGCATAAAAATAAAAAATAAAAATAAAAAAATTCCACCATCGTTGACCCCCCTAATAAACCAACATCAAACACACGAACCGATGGTTACATCCATCATCCATCATGCTTGACCAGCATAACAACCATGGTTTGCAACTGAGCACTGGAAAAAACATATGAAGTTATGAACGGATTGAATTTCCAGAAAGCCATTGTTAATTCGTTGCCCCTCCAAAAGCTAACCCTTAGATTGACCCCTCAAAAAAGCACCCACGACACCCAGATCCTTCAGCCTTGGCAAGAAAACCATTCACGAGACTGATGGCTTGCACTAAGTTCCACGTTAGCACCAGAGAACCCATAGCTAAACCCCAACAAACCACAACGGGGTTATCACCCTAGAATGCAAAACTACGGCCGACGACAAGAAACCCAGTTTTGTCGGTACCCGAAAGCGGGGGAAGGAATCAACGAGCGTTCTCTCGACGATAGGAGGATGTACAAGTGCTCATTTTCCGAGCAAACAGCGGAGTTTTGGCCGTGGAAGTTGGGGAAAAAGGTAGGCGTTTTCTGCATGTGTGAGCACTGGCTTGTTTGGACTTTGCAGGTGAAATAGGGGGAATTCCTTGACTGCAGGGTGCTCCACCGATGATATGGACACAATCCATCACCCTTCTACCAGTCACCACTCAAGTGATGGTACTAGGATCCAAAGACTTTCCGAAGCGACGCACCATCTCCACTATATATGCTACGCTCAGAATCTCACTACTATGGTTTGAAGTTTGAACCCTCCACTCGTGACTCATGAGTCTCGATGTGTGTAGATCCGATTGTACTTCCCCTCAGTCCAAAACTGCGAGTGCTTGTCTGCACTCAAGAACCAACACTTCTACGGAAGTCTGCCAGCATTTTTGTATTTATTTTTATTTTTTTTTTGGGGGGGGGTGGGGGGGGAGGTGGAGACATCTTTGTAGGAACTGTACCCCGTCCAGACTAAACTTAGTCAATGAACAAATAAGTGGCGTACCATCAGTTAAACAACGATTTTTATTTCTTTCATCTTTGTCACTTCTACTTTTTTGTTATTTTGTAATCTTATTGGCATGATTCCTTGTAGTTTTACAGTGACAAGTCATTTTGTGGTCACCTTTGGTGTTCCACAAGTTTCATTATCTCTTTTTATTGGGCTTACTATAGTGGGAGTCATCCCGAGGACAGATGGAAATGTTTTGTCGTGCGCACAGCCGTCAAAGCATGCCTCACCTGCCCAGCATACATAAGGAATGCTCCTCGGTTAAACGCTGCAAATGCAGTCCATGCCAAAGCATCGTTCCTGGTTGCAGCACGCGACATGATTCTCCGCTGACGTGAAAGACAAATCAGAGGCAACGAAGAACCGCAAAAACGATAGCAAACAACATAAGTGCAAGAGGCCAAATGCCAACATCAGTTCAAGAGAAGACCAGTACAAGAGGCTAATTGTGAAGGTCAGCACAAGAGAGAGAGAGAGAGAGAGAGAGAGCAGTGAGTGTGTGTGTGTGTGTGTGTGTGTGTGTGTGTGTGTGTGTGTGTGTGAGAGAGAGAGAGAGAGCAGTGCAAGAGCGGCTACCAGCCAACCAGTAGAAGTTCAATAGTGCCAAACAGTACAAATCAATGAAATGCGTTGTGGATTCGACATGGAACATCTGTTAAAATGGAATGATAGTATTATGATACAGAGAAGATCAGCATGGGCCAAGTGCAAGGGAGGATAACACACACAAATCAAGAAAAATAGGTCAAAGTTAAAAGAGAGAACAGAAGAAGTCTGCAGACTCTGCACACACGACATGCATGCAAACCCAAGCACTATTGTGAACAACAATCTGTGTCGTCGTCATTCATGGAACACAACCTTCCTCTTCGACTTCCATGATCTTTGCTGCCCATTTCACTCGGCACACCCAGATCTTACCTTTTTTTTTTTTTTTTTTAATATCCCAGATGAACCAAAATTAAGCTTGTCCACTTTTGTGAGGCGAGCGCTACACTTCGGTGCACGCACCCGCCTTAACCACATTAAACGCGCACTCGCACACTACATAAAGGGTATTTTCATCTGTAAGGAACAGATGAAACGATACCTTTCACTCGGCCAGATCTTCCTTCTTTTTTTCTTTTTTTTAATATCCCAGATGACCCAAAATTAAGAACACTACATAAAGGGTATCGTTTCATCTGTTCCTTACAAATATACCTACACACGCGATATGTGTTTCATAACTTTTGTGTAATCTTGGAAACATACACACGTACACTGACACAACAAACTACCGTCTTCCGACGAACATGACGCATGTGCATTGAAATACAATGCATAGGTTGCTTTCTATTCGAATACAACGCGGCATATGCATTTTATTCGAACAGCCCTTTCTTTTCGAATACAACACACATGCATTCGATTGGAATTCTCGAATCTTTCAAAAACTCAAAACGCATATGCGTTATGTTCAGGCCCTTCGGGGGAAAACATAGTCGCAAAGGCAATTCTTAATGAAGTTTCGCGTCCGCTACACAGAGAACTCGTAACTCCACCCAAACAGGGGTGACTCGGTGACTGCGGCATAGCGTTTCCCCCGGGCTTTCACCAACTCCGCAGGAAATTCCAACCCTAACAGTCTGCCCCTTATGCATTCGACTAATATGACGAGGACTGACCCCCACCTTGCCCAAATTGCAATAATACCCTTGAGAAAAGTGGGAGTGGTGTCGACCTTTCGTCACAGCAGTGCCTTTTTCTCCTCCTCTTCGTGATATGCAGTATTGTCAGATTTGTTTGCTGCAAGTTCTCGTCAGTATTGTCAGATTTGTTTGCCACAAGTTCTCCTCAATATTATCAGATTTGTTTGCTGC